ATCATACCAAAGGGCATGACATAATAATTTCAATTATATTTTTTATTAAGCTAGTTCCTAACCTCTGTTCTTTTTTTTATTTTTTATGCAATTTTGTTGTTTGGTTTAGTTAGTTTTATTTTATTTGACTTTTCGTCGGTTTACTGGATAAATTTGACAACAAGTTGGGAGGCCGATGCGAAAGTTGCTTAAAATTCAATTAATTTGTGTGTGTTGTGCAATGAAAAATTTCGTGAGCTGGAACTTTTGTGCGTGCCAGACGCGATGGCGATGTCAATTTTCGTTCGCTCCCCAAGTTGGCTCTTGGTTTCTGTCACATCAGCCAAAGGGAGAGGAGCCTGGCTGCCTCTGTTTTTGGGCTAATTTGGCCACCGGCTGTAGCTTGTGCCGTTGCATTCACAGATAACCAAGGCAACCGAAGAAAAGTTCCACGAATCAAGCCCTGTGCCCCAAGTTAGGACAAGAGAAATTTCGTTTGTGTGGCCAGTAATTAGATTCCAATTTGGACTGGCGATGAGACGACGCTCACTAATTATGACTGCAGCTTTTCATTGATGCACAGTGAGTTTGCTAGCTATTATACGATAAAAATAATAAAAAATGTTTTTAAGTTATTTCAATGGAAAGCTTTGGTATTTTAACTTTTAAAAATGGGTTTCCAATACATACAATTTTTGCTAATAAGGTCTTTAAATAAATTTGCCTTTCTCTTCAAGAATACTTGACTCAGATCAATTAAATACATAGAAGTTGTTCGGAGCTCAGGGACTGAGTTGTGGCCAAAGCTGATTGAATTATCAATCCGTTCGAAGCAGTCCAAGTGGCAAATCATCTGACCAGTCATCACAACCATAACTATAGCTCTATGGTACAATAATGGATTACACTGATGATAATTCTAAGCGTGACTAATATTTGTTCAAGCGTAGACAAAAAATATAGTTCTAGTTTATCTTTATTACATTATAACCCGATTAATTCAATATTATTTAATAATTTAATATCAATATTATACATTTTTTGGAAGCTCAAATTTCTCAGTGAACGATTGGGCGTGAGGCTCGGATTATTGGTGGGCGCATCTCATGACTGCACGCTCGGATGCTCATTTTAAATTGACTTCAAACGCTGCTGCGTGACGAGCTGCATGGCCACGGACAGAGTCCGCAGGATGCCCGGCAGGATGTCAGATGCCAGTCCACCGGGACTGCAGGACTGCCAGGCGGCTGGCACGCACGCATTCTGATGCCATGACGAACGTGGCGAACGTGGCCCCAAAACCTGGCCGAGAGCTGGCCAACAGCAATATGGTTAACAGTACCAGCACAGACCAGACGACGGAAGCGATGCTCAGGCCAGGACGGGCCTTTAATTGTGCCACATCATTTATGAGCCCGGGCCAGACAGATGAAGTGGGTTTTTGGGATCGAGTCCGGTATATTGAATGCACCCCTTGATGTCGGAACGACTTGTTGTGAATGTCTGCTACAGGGCACTTAAAAAAGGTGAAAATATTTCTTATAGCTCCTATGATATTTAAAACACTAAGCTTGATAAATATATGAATTATTAGGGTCGCATATCTTTCCATAAACTGGTAAGGATTCTTTTCAGTGTACTTGTTTGGTTTTAATATACACGACTTTAATTGATTTCGATAAAATATGCGGGATTAAAAGCGAAATTACAAGACCTGAAAAAGCACACAAAAAAGAATAAGCAAATAAAAAAGTTGCGGCGGCAACTTTGCACGAAGCATCCAAAGAAATATCACAAAATGAGAAGGTGAGAGGTGAGCGGTGGGCCAGGATGTGGAAGGATATTGGGGTGGCAAGCGGATGTTGGCGGGGTAACAGGTACTTTGTAAATGCGTGTGTGTATGTGCAAGAAATGGCAAACTTTTTGATGCTTCAAAAAACTCATTAAAAAGGATTTGACACGTGAAGTGCGAAAACTTTCTATTTTTATATTATTTCCCTTTTACATTTTTATGGCAACGTGTGAGGAATTCTCTCAGCCCCTCTACCAGAGGAGGGTCTGGGTGTGTGTGTGTGTTTGATGTGTGCTGATTGCCAGTGCCCATCAAACTGGGAGTGTGTGAGTGTCGTCGACGCTCGTTAGAATTTGCGGATTGAATTTCAATGGCGATTGATGACGGCTTCTTGAGTGTATTCGTGTGTATGTGTCGGCTATAAGCCAGCATGTGTGTGTGCTCGTGAAGGCCAAGAAACAAGTTTGGCAAGAACTCTCAGACACCGAAAACGCGACTCCGATCCGAGTTTCCTGGCTCATTTTATGATAATGTTCAAACCTGGCGTTAATGAGCTCTTAAGCTTAAATAAGAAACGTGATTTAGTTACTAAGTAAACTAGGAAATAAACGCCAGCAAGAGAGAGCGTGCAAGCGAAAATCTTCGCTTAATTTGAAAAGTTTGACATCACAACCCCACAGCACCCTATCACAGAAGCAAAAAAAAAAACTAAAGAAACCAACACCTGCCAAGCTCACCAGGTGTAATGAGCACACAGCTATCAAATCATGTTCAGCTATTGGCAATCGCCCTGGGAACTTTTTGCATACAACATTTCACCGATTAATTGCCAACTGGTTCGGCCGATGAGCAAATGAAAAAAGTTTACCGATTCACGGGTGTCCAATGCCTACCACAGCACTTTTATCATTCGAGGCTGTTTTAATAATTTCCCATTCAACCGCACCTAATCAAAACCCAGACAGAATCGGGTCCAGACCCAAAGCAGACTTGGGTCCAGACAAGATGACAGTTCAGCAAGGACAAAGTTCAAATTGAAAAAGAAGACAAAATTCACCGAAACAGCAATACACTTGAAAAGGATAACAAATTAAATTACTCTTAAGTCTTAGGATTTTTATATTTTATGAGGAAAGTAATAAAGTAATTTAATTTACTTTTTATAACAATTAGAATTTACTTTAAGGCCCATGTCATAAACTAAATATCCATTTCGTACTACCCTCCTGGCTAAGAGCTAGTAAACCCTTTTCATGAATAACTCAATTCAACAGAGTTCGGCTTATGAAATTTATGTAAATCTGCTGGAAATTGAAATATGCAGATGCTCATTTCGAAAATTAGGACAAAGCTAGAAGAGTTCAAGCAACAAGAAATGTATTAAAATGTATTTCGCATTTTATTAAATTTGCCAACATGATAAATTCTTTGGTGTCTCGCTGCTGCCAAGTTCGGGACGGACCCAACTTAAATTAAGTAATAAGTTTTATGCGTCTTGACCTCAAGGGTTCACACCACACAGAAACCATCTCAGGACACTGACAACCGCTTTCCCAAGGATACAAACAGAGCATGTATTGACACACTCCTGGTAGACTTTTGCCTTTTGTGGTGCAAAGGTCGAGTGCGTGTGGAAGGCAGACAAGCAGATTTTCTTATTAAAATTATACAGTTCTTGGGGGCAGTCGAGGCACAAGGAGTCGTGCCACATTTAGGGTTAATTTCGGCACCAGTCCCAAACCTACACAAGGCACAAAAGTTAATGTGATTAATGTTTACTTAATGAAATGAAGTTATCAAGTTGATTTTATCAATTTACACACTGGCAGGCGTCGCCACAGACAAAAACCCCAAATTTCTCGAGCGCCTGTCAAAACTGGCGCCGGTGTGATGAAGGTGCTCCATGGGATTAGGTGAGAGTCGTTCTCGCTTTTTGATGGAAAAGTCAAGGGAGGAGAAAGCTTCTTCAATGCACTGAAGCAAAAATATTAAGGATAGAAGTGGCAACTAATATAAAAATGAGATACTGATAATCTTTCTCAGTGGTTTAATGAAAATTTTTAAGTAAGATTTTAGATAGATTTATAACATAATTTTTTTGGTTAATAAGGATACATTTATTGGGTTGACTAGCTTTAAGGCATATTAGTTAAATGTGGTTGACAAGCGACTGCTCAACTGTTTCCTTGGCAAATATTTGACACTGTCTAGGGAGGCTTGCGGCTGCTGGAGGAGGAAGGTAATTCTGTGGTGCAATCAGTGGACGTGGCAAAGGAAAGGCCGTGAAAAACAAGTTCAATTAAATCCCAGTCACGCCGTATCCTCTGCGTCTTTTGGTAATCAATGCGTTTAACGTTTTCAATCAAGCAACCAGCAAAAAGGCAACAGCAAAATTATTGAGCGTGTGGGGTGGAAGGAGGGGGAAGAGGCATGGAAGAGTCAGTCAGTCACAGAGACAGCTCAAATTCAGTTAAGCATTTCACTTATTTGCATATAAATTGATTAAAAAGAAAATACATGCCAGCCAGACAGACACTCGCACACAGTCGCACACTTTTGACTGTGTCAACATGGCAAAGGACGAAAGGGTCCTGCTCAGCTCTGTGTACCCCTTGCTCCGCCTCTTTCTATCACCATCTCTGTCTCTTTCTGATGTGCTTCAACTTGCCCTTTTCTGGCCATCTCTCTCTGCCTTACCCAGCTGAGGCTTTTCCTCTTTGGCAATTTCTGACACTTCAAATGCGTATGATTGTTTTCCTTTTGATCAGCGAATTGTGAAGTGATTCACTGATTGAGTTCAGACTCAGTTGAAGCGTTGACAACATCAGTGCACACATTCTCCCAATCTCCCCTTGGTCCAAGTCACGCCCACCTCTTTGAACGCCCTTTTAGCACACACTCACAACCATACTGTCAGTCAACTGGTTAACAACCATCCTGACATGAAGGTTGCAAATCGGTAGGTCAGTTGGTAGGTCAGTTTTCTTCGAAAAGGAAAATGAAGTTTTCTTCCCGAAAATATCAAATTTATTGAAAAATTATGTATTTTACTAATTTTTTGTATCTGAAATTTCCTACAAGAGAAAATAACTTGTTCTTAGCCAAATTCTACTGATTTCTAGTGAGTCATTTACAAAATGGGTCAATCGTGGCTTTTTTGTGTTGTGGTTCCCCTTCAGGTGTTGCCTAGTTCCATTTGCTTTATTGCCTTTTTTATTCTGCCTAAGTGAAATGGTGGCAGGTTGGTTTAGTCGAGTTTTCCGTCGGTTGAAGGAATGTTCTTGAAGGCCATTCGGACAAAGGGCTGGAGCCTCAAGGTTAGCTCAATTATTTAATTACCAAACAAAGCCGTGAACTTGAAAAATTGAAAAATTTCAAAGTTAATAAGTACATTACGTATACGCAGTGTTAGAGACGGGCATTCATTAAAGTGTAACAAAAAGATAACAAATATTATTGTCCTGTCGTATTACCTTGGCTTAATTCCCTTTATGACTGAATGACATGGAAATGCATTTGGAGGGAATACTTATTATATGGGACACATGCGATGCGTGGTTAAATGTTATTCAGCAATTTAGAAAATTACAGGTATTCCCTCACAACAAGCGAATGAATAAAACAAGACAGTCAAAACAAAAAAAACCTTGGGAAGTACGAAAAATCAATAATACGGATATTACCTGGTCACTACACTGGACTACATGAATTGGAAAAATAATAAGTTCTTCATTGAAATTTAAGTGAAACTCGAAGCCTGATGTTGATATAAAAATAAATCCCAGAAAAATCCATAAATTTAGTGAACTTGTTTAAAAGCCATTCATCAAAGCCATCACAGATATTTGCCGTTGGCCCTTTTGGGTGGTTGGCCGCCATGGCAGGGGCAATAAAAACAAAATGAATTCCATAGTCCATAGTAGTGGACTCTTTGAATTGCATACTTTTAGGCGCTTTCATTTTTATCTAGATACATTTGACAGACTGCGCTCCATTCGTATTTCTCTTTTTTCTGGCTGAATTTATTTGCTTCGTAGGTAAACAAGCCGCCAGTGGGCGACGCATCGGGCTTTAATTGAAGTAAAATGTTTAGAAAAGCAATGAGTGTAGGAGGGGCCAAGGGGCCAGACCCGAGAGTTGTTTGCCGAATGAGCCATGTGAGTCAGGTGAATGAGAGAGCAAGCTACTGTTTCCGTCTGCGGCGAACTGTCTGCTCCATATGCCCGTATATGCTTTTTAGTAACTAGTTTTTTACTCTCCCCACATCAGCCGGCAGAGCTTATAATTCATTCGCTGTAGCTCGCTTACGCTTTTATCTCCCTCTCTTACCCCACGCTCACTTGGCTGTTTATTCATTGCCGCCGCTTTATTTTTCGCTTTCAGTTTGCATTTCAAAGCCGCCAAAGTAACAAGTATCTTGCAGTTATCCATTCAGTGGGGCGACTATAAAGACCGAAATAAAGCGAACAAGACACCACTCAAAATTTTATATACAAATAGTGAAAAAGGCTTTTTAAAAAACAAGTTCACCAGCATGGATGTAAGTTTTTTCTATTTTTCTTGCACTTATTTATTTTATTTTTCCTGTGGGCCAAACTGTGGCGACCTTCACCTTGGACTCCAATTAGAGAAATTGCTAAAAGTGCTTTCACCAAAATGAAAACCTTTTCCATTTTCTCTGCTCCCTCTCATGCCGAAATCTGCTAAATTGAAAGCATCTGATTAAAGCTTGTGGCGCAACATGAGCGGGCGAACGTCTTCTGGAAAAGATCAGCTGAGGCGAACGGAGTGATTCATTGTGTTTCCTCAGATCTGATGGGTTGTTTTTTTTTGGGTTTACACACCAGCTTTAATTACTTGATCCATAAATGGAGTTTTTTGTTAGTCACTTTGTGTGCGTTGGCTTTGTTATAGTGCTTGGAAAAGTCATAAGACATTTAACAAAAATAAACTGGATTCGATTTGCAGAAGCTTAGTTATTTTCCGTTGAAAGGTTTTATTATCTTTTAACTGAAAATTCAGTATGTGGATAATAAATCGTAATAACTTTTAACCGCAATAGGCACTACGCATAGTCTATATTGTAATACTATAATTATGACAATGAAAATGAATCATGCAATAAAAGCCCTTACTACTATAATTGCGAAATTTCTCACATAAATATTATACAATATTTAGTGCGTAAGCCATTTACTTAAATGATACTTTGTGGTAAAAAAAAATCTATAAATTACTAATCAATAATATTCTGTGAAGTCTAACCAAGTAACCATTTTTATTAAATGTAAAATAATGATTTCTTGTTACCCACAGTCACCCAATGGCGACCTATACACCCTTGAAGCGAACCTGGTCAGCAAGGCTATACGGGAACTAACAGATGGCGCTGACAAGGACCCCATCACCAAGCTACGACTTTTATGCTTTAGCCGCGGAGCAACAGGCATATTAGGACTGGGCAGGTAAGAAAAGTCATTTGATTGACCTAAAACGATATTTGAATCGGACCTAGGAGCTGTGACCCCGTGGCCGATGAATTATGCAAGGAAACAGTTCAATTTTAAATTATTCATTAAAGAGCCTTCCGGGCGATGGACGACGATGGCAGCAAAGCGCTTAACGAGGAGGAATTCATCACCGGGATCCGGGACACGGGACTAGATGTCACCGAGGAGGAGATCAAGCAGATGTTTCAAACGTGAGTGACGGGCGTGAAATCGGGTCCAGATAAAAATTTAATTTTCGTGGACACCTTGTTTAGATTCGATGAAGACGGCAGTGGATCCATCAATATGACAGAGTTCTTGCTCAAGCTAAGGGTAAGCGGCTATTTATATTCCATTATTTGTGTTTTTAATGAAAATCAACCAACAAATCAGAAACACATTTATCAAACGTTTGTTATTAAATTATGATTTAATTTTTAATAAATATGAATTATTTTTTTTATTTATTTGTAGCCTCCAATGCCGCAGTGTCGGTTGAATATTATCGATCAGGCTTTCGACAAAATGGATCGTGATGACGATGGTGTTATTACCATTGCGGATCTAAAGAATGTTTATTCTGTAAAGGAGCATCCGAAGTTTCAGAGCGGTGAGAAAAGCGAGGATGAAATTCTTACCGATTTTCTGCACAACTTTGAGGGAGGTCGTGGCAATCTTGATGGCAAGGTTAGCTATTAGCAGTTCGCTTAAAATAAATGTATTTCTAATTATCCATTAACAGATAACTCGCGAGGAGTTCGTGAACTACTACGCCACAATTAGTGCCTCAATCGACAACGATATGTACTTTGACCTGATGATGCGACGGGCCTATGCAATGTAAATATTAGCAACATGCAACCACTTCACTTAAATCTCAATCACGACTCATGTATAATTTATAAACTGCTCAGCAAATAAAATAGAATCCTTTTTATGCAATTAAATAAATCTTGGAGAACATTTTTCGGGCAAAGTTCCAATGGCAAAGAACTTGACTATTTGTGCTCTTAATTCAAATCTAAAATGCTTGGCCAAGATTTGTGATGACTTTCGTAGTTTCGGCTTTTTAGGGTTTAGATATCGGGATTCGTTAGCTGTCAGAGCATATGAAGTGTTTGTCAAATATGCAGAATAACAAGAAACAAGTTTTCTCTAAACATTTGTTCGTAGTTTACATGCATTTAAAGTCTGGCTGGATATGCTATATATGTATGTGCATAAATGGGCGGTTGGGGCGTGGCCCATAATCAAGGCAGAGCGCCAAAGACGGCAATCAGAGCTACAAACACGGACCCAAGCCCAAAATGCTTGCCGCACTCGGCAAATTGTTTGGAATTGTCAGCAGCAGCAGTAGCAGTACCAGCAGCGAACTAATGTCATCTGTATGTGAGTGTGTGTTAGTGCTAGCGCCCTGACTGGTTGGCATTTATCACACAGCCAGGACCGGCAGCCTAAATGTATGCTTTAAATTATGCAGACACCAGCTGAGTTTGTCGCCACATGCAACTGTGCGTTTCTGTGATTGTGTGTATGTGTGTGTGTGCATCTGCGTCTGTATTTGTTTGTGCGTGGCAAGTTTGTGCTCTGATTGCAAGCAACTCATACAAAATTTTAATTGCCAATGTTGAAATTACGCACTGAGACAAAGGACGGGCGGGAGCCAGACTTTCAGACCGAAAAGGGTGAGAAAATTCGGAGAAAACTGACTTTACTAACAAGTTGTACACCTAACAAAATGAGGCGCAAAGAAGTGCACATAATAAGATAGTTAAAAATAAAATTTTTTTAAACATAAACATGTGTCAGCTAGCATTAGTTATTTATTAGCAATATTTTACCTCATTTTTGGTTTATTTAATCGCTCAGTGTTTATGCAATCGAGGCTTACTGCGTGTAAATCACACACTCCCAACTTTATCGTATCATTTCATTAAATTTTATTTACAGCCTGGCAACTGTCGTTGGGTTGCTCCTTCTCTTTGGAAAGATGTTGGCCAACGACAACTCTGAATTTGTGGCAGTTTTCATTTGCCACAAAAGTTCCCGTCGAAGTCCCAAATGGCTCGGCTAATCAAAAAAAAAATTCTCATGCCACAAAAACATGTTGAATACATAGGCATTCGTTTTCGTTAATCAATTTAAAACTTTAAAAGATAGTTTTTGATAAAAAAATTCAAAATTCAAATATTTTCTCCTTTAAAAGAAAATCATTTTGTAAGTTAATTTTAATATTAAAATTATGGCATCCAGATATTTCGTGTGACAAGAAAGTGACATGGACATTTTTCAAATATCGAATCCTCGAGCTGAGGACGGAAACGAGGGCGACGACTAATGCATTATTTAAATCTAGTTAACACTTGGCCATTTGCCGTTGATTGAAAAGGTCGAGGAGCAGCAGTACGGAGGGGGCGAAAGGTGAAAGGACATCGCTGGACGGCAGAGAGTGTGTCGGACAGGACAAATGGAAGAGCAGCACATGAAAATAATAATAATAAAAGGCAGCCGCAGGCGAATGGTCCTTGGAACCTCATTGACGGAGTATTGAATACATTTCATTGCATGCCGAATACGAGGCAGGAAATGGAGAAAGGATAATGGAGAACGAGTGGCGGGCGAGTAGGCGGAATGGTAAATGGCGAAAATGTATCCTTCTGTGGTAGGCATCGAAGTGACGAAACTGCAAAATATTTCAGTCACGTTTTAAATGTAAAAATCTCAATCACGTGCTCGAAATGCGCGCATTCACAATATGCACAAGAAAAAAGTTTAAGCAACAAACTAGAGACTCAAAAAAAGAAGGAAGTATACACTAAAAACATAAGTTGTTTTATCCTAATCATGTTTAAGTCCAAGGAGCAACACATGGAAGTATTTTTGGCGTCAAGAGTAAGCGTCAAACCGCCCTTTTCTTGAGGTGTAAACATATAAACGATATTCCAGAGTGTCGGGCATTTGGCCAACTGAAAATCGGAACGAAGCCGGGTCCGTGAAATGCGGCAAAAGCCCTTAACAGGTACTTGTTGGATCGATGATTTAATGTCGCTATTGGCGGGATTGCGAACCGAATTCGATGAGCTGTCGCGGTTGCATCTAATGATGTTATTGTTGCTGCTACCACACCAGCCGTTGCATCATTTGTGGCCGCTCAAATTGCATAATGTATGCAAAAAGCTTAACTAACTGTGCGCATTGCTGATTGAAATATTGAAATCAAGTGGCATTTATAGTTGGCCAAGCACAAGCAGCCAATCCAGCACTTACACACAGACGGATATGTTTACCTGTGGACAGCGCACAATTCGCAGCAATTTCCTTTTCCTTTCAACGCAGCTCGTATGATCACACCATTCTCGGTTTTTTTATTTGAGTTTTTTCTTTAAATTTAACCATTCAACAGGGTGTTAGGTTTTTTTTTTTTACGATTTTTCATTATTATCGGTTGTAGGATTCAATAGATTATAAATAGATTGTAAGATAGTTGTACACAACAATCTGTTTTATGATGCTGCTATTATTTACAGAAGTTCCACTCTTATTGAATGACTTGTTTACCCATTACCCATTATGTTTTAATATTGCTTTCACCTCTTCAGAAATAATGTTACCTTTATTTTTTCAAGTTGAAACAGGAGGTTTTGTTGCCTAATAACGTAATCTAGCTAACATTTTTCAAAGGTTGTTGTAATACCTACTAAATTCTGTGTTCACAATTTCACAAATTTGTAAAGGGAGTAACATAAAACAAAATAAAAATATGTAAAACAATTTTTATTATCAATTCATATCTACGTAAAACTATTTATTTTAAATTCTTTGTCGATTTAAACCCTTTTTAAGGTACAAGGTATATATTTAAAAAAAATATATAAAAAGAGCGAGTGCAGTAAGTTGCGCGCTTAATTGGTTATCTTAGTTATGAAGTAATTGATTGGGTTGATAAATATAAATTGAAATACGTAAACAAATAGTTTTTAATATGGAAACCATTAATTTGTATAAATTGTATGCATTTTCGTAGGTAAAATGTAGTTTTAAAGCCATTTACCCGGGAAATATATTTTATCCAACAAGCATGTGTGGAAACATTAATTTCAGCCGAGCTCTTTTGAGTTTAGTTTTACCAAACTCACTTGTTAGCATTTGGGGTTTTTTTTTGCAGAGAAATGAACATGCAAATGACCATTTTATTACGAACATTTTATTATTTCGCCAAAATGTGCCATTAAATACATCAGGTTATGTTCGAAACGAATGGGTATGTAGGTGTTCGAATGCGTTAGAGTGTACGTCCCGTTGCGGCTTCGTGCACAGCCATTTATATGCCAAAAATATATATTTTGAACATGACAGCGGCAACAAAAAATCAATTTGTAAATGTTTTTAGAGTGCAAGCGAGATAGAGCCGGGAAACTTTGACATTCCGACGCACAACTTTGGCAGCTGCTGCGGTGGCAATTGCTGTTGCATATTTTCCGATATGGTTGCAACACGAAACGAAACGTAACGAAACGAGACGCACGAAATGCTGCCAAGTGACCCCATTGGCAGCTGCAATGTCCGTTTTGTAATTAGCGCTCGATTCGTTTCGAAAGGTCCAAGGGGAGTTTTCTGACCTCAATTACTTTGTCACCATTTCAATTTGCAATTTCAGCCATTAACTAGTTACGCTCAATGCAATTAAACTTGCACTTTTCCACTTTACCGTTCAGCAAGGTAAGAAGAAATTCGCCAAACTTGCCACGCCTCCCGCTTGGTCATCAAAACGCCCCCGCTTCACACCTTGCTTTGCCTCCATTCACCTTCTACATTCCCACGCCCCCAGGAATGATGTCAGCGGCATTTCCCACCGCAAAGTGTTGTTATTGCCACTATTTCGTACCGTAGCATCCGCAACTGTTGTATCGCACACAGTGAAAGTTCTCACTATCCCACAGATACAGATACATGCACTCGCCGAGACACAGATACAAATACAAACACATCCATAGAAACCCTTCGCCGTCCAGCTGCATGTGCGTTCCATTGGAATAATTTGAAATTGGAAAAAAAAGTTGCCGTTGGTTGGTTTTTTTTTGTTGCCATCTTCTCGTTGAGTTAATTGCAAATTGGATGAAATTGTAATTTTACACTTCATTTGATTCAATTCATGGCTGATTGACAATTTAGTTTTTCATTAAGGTAACTGCATAAAAATTCATATTTACACGGGAAAATATTTTAGCAATTGTAATCACATGTATTTACTTTATGAACTGTAATCAGCTTACACATATTCATTAATTAATCAATAATCAAACTACTGCTATATCTTATTGTATTTTTTGTTTAAACAGCTTTCGTTTTTTCAGTGTTTAATGTCATCAAGGAGGTATCCCAGGCTGATCCAAGCTATTGCGGCCAAATATGGCGGCTGCTTGGATTGCAGGCATCTCAAGGAGGAAAGTATGTCAAAGCAAGGAAATGTTTTAGGAATGAAAATGGCCCACAACTTGAGGTACGATGGCTTAGATTTCGTTAAAATCCAGTTGATGATGCACTGCCTCACATAGGTTGATAGTTTAATAGATTTTTTTAAAGTTCTTTTCATTAAAATAGGTTTTATTTAAATAGATAGAAAATAGAAATAAGCTTTGGGACAGTCCTTAGAGTTTTTCGTGAAAAATAATTCCCGACCTGCTCCTCCAGGTTTCGGATTTTCCAATTGACTTTGAGTCTGACTATTGTTAAAATTATCAGCTTTGTTAAAGAGTGTACTTCATCAGAAGAAGGCTTTTTAATATATACGCAAGAGTAGAAAGAAAGAGAATACGGCTTTTCTTTTTTATATTATAAAAAACAAATTTTAGTCCAGTTTCTATTCAGCTCTATTTTAAAGTAAGCCACATTAATTATTGAGAGCCTTGATACCACAACCAAGACAAGTTTCAGGTGTCTGCA